TCTTCCAGTCAGAAAGTCCAACAGCCAGTTGCACAGCGAAGTGTTGAGCCCCAGCTGGACCAGTTTGTGAATGAATGTCAATGTGTTAGTTGGTTCCAAAACTGATAAGTGCGAACAAGTTCACACCTATTTTTCTCCAATTTTTATGCTAGAGTCTATATAACTATTTTTTAATCAGGCATACTCTCATCTCCTAACTCATCATTCAGTTTTACATGCATGCCATGTTCTTCCTTTTAGAAAAAGGGGCAGTTGCTGTCCATCCCATTTCCCTGAAGTTCAGCCTCCTAGGGCCTTCAGCCAGAATTGTGAGCAATGATTCTTACAGTTTTTCTCAGTCGCTTTGGTGCATTTCTCACATCACTATTTACATTTGCACAACAGTTAATGCAGTTCTCAAAACAATTAGTACAAACTGCAAAACCTAGTTGATAACCTGCAAAAGCGTGTCACTTGCTCAAAATTAGTGATGTGAGAAATGCACCAAAGCGACTGAGAAAAACTGTAACCAAGCTAAATTAAAATCACCTGCCTGCTGGAACAGGATGCATCATGATTTGAATGTTAGCTTTTTCCAGTTTAATGTGCATGACTTTACAGAAATGCATGGTTTACTTGTGTCATTTACAAAACTTGTGAAATTGGTGTTGCTATATTTTCATCGTATTGGCTGTATTCACAATAAGCTATTAAAACTATCATCACCATAATGATTCTAATATATTGATACATTTGCTGATACCATATAGCAATGTACGTGTATGTTCCTATTTTAAGTTATTTCAAGGCTACAGTATTTTGACCTAATAATGATTTTCTTAGAACATTACCAAAGTATTCTTATTGGTCTGTATTTAACACTAACATCAAAAGATAGGCTGCTGTATTAATGCAACACAATTTCCATAATTTTGGAACCAGTCGTGCAGTTTTGTTTAGACAGAACACTGAAATAAAAGGAGTTCATCTTCATTTTATCATGATTAAAAGTATTGTCCTGTTGCTGATTCTTCTTCATGAATCCTTGTTCCGTTTATAAAAACCTTGTTTTGGGTAGAGAATTTATTGGTACCACATTAAGATGTGATTGCATGTGTATATTAAGTAAAACACAATAAAATGCCGAACGCCGCGTTATTTGTACAAGTGCGTCTAGTTTTGCACAGCAGTTACAGACACACGGTGGCGCCCAAGGAAGATTTTTTTTTCGTCTCAACCCTGTTTTTATACAGTCTATGGTCTCAACTGGCTCTCTAAACTGAACTGCTGTTAGATCCTTCTCTATTCTGCATTGTGGTTTTAATCGTGAGTTTGGTCTGGTGCGAGCGTGAGTTTGGTCTAGTGTTCCACTATAAAAAAAAACTGAATTTCCTTTCGAGCGTTTTTTTTTCCTCATCAATTTGCAAAAAGCCTCCGCGAGTCTCTGTCTCTTGCACGACCAGACTTTGGCAAGCTTCTATGTCTTGCATGTGAAGATAAACGACATGGAATTATTTATTTGCAGTTTTTTTCCTTCTTTAACACACCACTTTTGAATTCTTTGTGCTTTCGAATTGTACTCTGTATTTAATTCTCTCTGTGTTCGAAACTACAATGAAAGGTGAGCAATGAATATTTTCAGTACTTCTGTAAGTGTTATATAACCTATATCAACTTTCGTGACAAGCCCTATCAGATATTTCGCTTTGTAGTGTTTAGCTTTTTACTGAAGTGGACTTTTATCCTGCTGCTGAGTCTCTCCTTGTGTGACGGGGAAGAAAGCCCAACTTCATCAAACATTGGTAAGTATATATCCATTATTTATAAACAATACATAAATAAAAACAATAATGATTACATTACATTTTTTAAGATATCAGTGTATATGTCAGTATTTAATCATATAAGTTAGTCATATAAACTGAACTTTGGTGTTATTTTCAGGTTTTCTTAATTTCTGAACTGAATTAAGTCCATTCATTTTTATGCTTCCCTTACGAAAAAGAAGTTTATTCAAGTGTGCTATTAGTATACTTCTTTTAAACTAAAAATAGGAAAGTATCATTTTAGTCTACTGTTTATGTACTTCTCAGAAATGGGCTTTATGTACTTCTCAGAAATATACTTAAAATGACATTTAAGTATACTTGACTTATACTTAGAAAAAGTCTAAATATATTTTAGCTATAATTGTGCTCCTAGAATCCGTGTTTTCATTGTTATACTGTAGGGAGCGCTAGTACACATCTTCTGTACAGAATTTCCAAAAAACACAAGTGAAGAAGAAACCGAAACAACAGATGCTTCCACATGTAATCTAACACGATCATCAGACATAAAACAGTATCAAAACTGTGTAACATTATGACCCATGAAGAGGTAATAATAACTGTCAAGCTTTGGGGTGTTGATCGACTTTATCTACGTTTTGATTATCATTCTGAATCCAATTCAGTCTTTTTTTTCAGCTTTTTGTTCAAAATGTTTATATCTTTATTTTTTTTATTTATGAAACTTATCCACATTCAAGTGTTTAAAAAAAAATGCATGAAGCTAGAATAAAATGTTTTTGTTTACAAGCAGATACCCTGTTCTTTTGATGTTTTGTATGTTCAGATATTCATGTAACAAAATATATACAAATTAATACCTAAATAGGGACATAGTAGTATACTTAAAGTATGATGTAAAGTTCACTTAAAGAAAACTTACTTGTATACTTGCAGTATAAAACTACTAAACTAGTAGTAGTTTACTGAGACTATTCTTCAAAGTGTACTAAAAATGCTACTACAAGTATTTAATTAGTAAACTATCAGATACCTATAAGTTCACTTTTAGTATAGTTGCAGTACAAACTAAACATTTTGATGTAAACTAGTTGTGTACTCAAAGTTTACTACTGTTATACTTAAAGTATACTTAAAAGTATACTTTTATATACTAGAAAGTGGGCCAATTTAGTCCCAAGGAGTATTGAAATAGTACACTTACAAGTATACTACTAGTACACTGATATTTGTATACTTACTACATAAAGTATACTTAAAAATATACTTGAACTTTACTTAAGTATACTTACTAAAATAAACTTGAAGTATACTACTTTTTGGTAAGGGTTTCGTGAGGTTTAGAGGTGATTTTAATTCCTCAGCATTTTCTCTCAAGTTAATTGTCAAAAAAATAGTTTATCTAAAACGAACTGAGTTTATTTCTGCATAAGCATTAAATTAAGTATTAAAGCATGTGCGTCTAAAGGCTCAACAATGCATTTTCTCAACAAAAAGAAAATGAGTATAAGCAGCAAACTTATTCTGTGTACTGTTTTATTAAAGTGTATTATTATTATTAGTGTTAAAGCACACAAAAGCTTCCATCTCAGAGCTCTCCGGCATGACTCCCCTTTTCCTTTCCTCCTCGTGGAGGTATGTGTAAGCAGCAATGAACAAGTCTGATCTTGGTTAGGAAGTTGTGTATGTTATCTTTGTGTCAGCCTCTCTGTTTACATAGTGTAGTTTATTGGATGAATAAACTGTAGGGATTTTGTGCTTGGTAAATGGATTAAGAAATAAATATGCTAGTGGTTGTCCTAAAATTTTGTCCTGTAATGGTTGTGTTTCTCTGCTCACAGTTGCATGTGTATAAGCTAGAGGTCTAGAGGAGTTTGTTGTATAATGCAATGATGGAAAGTACTGGAGAGAGAGGGGGATTCTGATTATCTGCTGCACAATTTGTGCACACTAACCACATTTCATTCAACATTCTTCTATTTTTGGGTTGTGTCTGTCATACTGTTGTCAAGTGAAGTAGAGGGTCATGCCACTGACATCCTTGAGCAAAGATATGATGTTGCTTGTATTTATGAATAAGCCTTATCAGGGGAAGCCTGTTGTCTCATTTCTATTGAGAATGACTGACTGATATTGTGAGAAATATATTCAAAACCATATTTTAACAAACTACTGTACACTGTAAAAAAAAATCTGTGACATTTGCGGTAAAATACCAGCAGCTGTGGTTGCCAGAACTTCACTGTAAAAAATATGGTAGAAACATTTTAGGTTTTAAAGACTGAACTTAAATTTACAATAAAATACCGTATTTCAATAACTGATGTAATGTTAATAAACCAAAATACTGAAGTACTAATATCTGTTTTGAACCATTGTAATGCACTGATAACCACCAAAAACTGGTGGTGATGAGAAAGTCACATGATGAACCAACGCTCATCACAAACAGCTTTTCTACGAGTTGAGGAGGGCAATACTTATATATAGAAGGTGCACAGTGTCATTCACATAAACACTAAACCCCATCATGGTGACACACATGATTCTGAAATAATGCAATAAGCATTAATTTAACAATATTACATGTAAGATTAAACCCTACTGTACACAACTGATAAGAACAAAACTAAGAAAAAACGTTATTTCAACAAAAAAACATAAAATATGAAGTGTCATGCACGGAATTCTGGGAGTGTGAATTTACAGTTTGTCACTGTAAATTATACAATGACTTTTTCACTTCCAAAAACCATATTTTTAATTTTAACAGTATTTTACTGTAAAATTACATTAAATGAAATTACATTTATTCACCGAATATTGTATGGAAACTTACTGTTAACCAGTTAACAGGTTTTTACTGTAGCATTTTTACAGTCTTTTACTGTTAAAATCACAATCATTTTTTACAGTGTACAAGGCTGGTAGTTAATGAAGAAATTAGTGTGAAGTTCAAGACATTTCAGTCATGGTTACATGATCATCTATTACCATTGACATGAATCCATCGTATCTTTTAGTTAGAGTGTAAAACAAAATCAAAATCAAAATCATGAAAAGTTGCATGCAAAAACATATGATGCAATTGCCCTGATGAGGCTTGTCATGACGATTGCATAATTTCGAGATATAATCTCACATCTAAACTATGGTTGAAATTCTGTAGTGAAATACATTAGGGAATGCTGGGGAGGATGTTAATGTAACCATTTAAAGTCAAAACACCAGTGAAACCCTTTCCAACTTTGACTGTATTATTTGACTGCTGTTATTTGTTATTGACTGCTTGTTTTCTCTAGTGAATCCTTGTTGCTATTACCCTTGTCAAAACCGAGGGATTTGTGTTCGATATGGCCTGGACCGATATGAATGTGACTGCACCAGAACAGGCTTCTATGGAGAAAATTGCACTATACGTATGTATTTTGTCTTTTATCTCAATCTGATTGTATGTTTGTACTGTATGATGTGAAAGCATGTTGGATGAAAACATGGACTTAGCTAATAATAATGCTGTGCCTTGAAAATTAAGGCTGACATTTCATCAGCTTGATACTCAATCTAAGCTGTATGTACATAATGGTGGTACAAAGATCTCTGTAAAATTTGCTGAATTATTTAAACAGAACAATAAACTATCACAATTGTTTTGGAAGCATATGCCTCTTTAGACACAGTCCAACATCTGTGCCAGCCTATTCCTGGTAGAGGGAAAGGCTCAGGACCAAGTAATTTTCACTCTCTTACAAACCCCCGCGTCTCCTTTTCTGTTTCTTTTTTTCTATTTCTATTTCCTGTCTCTCTCAACTTGTTGGCACAAATGAACTGGTGCAATAAAAGGTTTTGCAGAAAGTTCCAGGGAAGTTGCTATAAGCTATTTGTTGTGATAGGATGATTGTGTTAAAAAAAAGATGAAAAAAAAACAATGATGCTTGTGTTATAAAAGAGCTCTGCATTCTGGAATAATTAGATTAGTTACCAGTTTGGGTACAAGATTTCAAAGGAATTCCAGGACATCTCATACACATGTCCAATGTATTGGGCATATGTTGTACCAATGTAGGGTGATTCATAATCCCACACAGTTGTACTTTCTCTTTATTTATTAACACATTCTCTCCACCTGTTTTCTTCTTCAGCTGAGTTCTGGTCTCGAGTCTATCAGCTCTTGAAGCCCAGTCCTAATGTAGTCCATTACGTCCTCACCAACTTTGACTGGCTATGGGACATCATCAACAGGACGTTCCTCAGGGACTGGCTCATGCACAAAGTGTTAACAGGTTAGTTTTGTTACACATACTCATTATGAGTTGAGTGTTCACATTCATAATGTTGCTCATGTTTATTTATGTAGGATCATTACAGGCATAAATAGGATAATGCGTGTTAGTAGATGGCAAACAGTGTACATATTTATCTGGCTTATTGTTAGGTTCAGTTTGTCTCTTGTGTAATGCAGAAATGAGTATGATATACCCCTGTGCCCCTGCTCCTTCAGGCATGTCAAGACATTTGTTAAAGGGTTTTATGTAAATTACACTGATACTAGAGTTTTATAGAGCAGTCTACTACACAATTTAATTCCTGCCCTGTCTGTACCTGTCCAATAAAAAAAATAAAAAATAAACGAACTGCGCCAAGGTCGCATGAATTCAACATCAGCACCACTTAGCTTCAGACAAATCTTTCTTTCTTTCTTTCTTTCTTTCTTTTAAATCTACAAGTTGGAAATGCTGAGTTAGAATAGTTTGTAAGAGCATGATTATAAACACAACAAGGTCGTAAAAGTGGCTTAGATGAGTTTACCTTTTTGCAAAAATCACAAGTGGGGCATTACTGTTGTACATACAGTAAAATGAAAATATGTTGATCTTGTGTTAAAGGGGTCATATGATGCTTTTTTAAAGATCATTATTTGGTGTATTTGGTGTAACAGAATATGTTGACATGCTTTAATGTTCAAAAAACACATTATTTTTCAAATACTGTACATTATTGTAGGTCCTCTATGCCCCGCCTCTCTCAAACGCTTCGTTTTCTACAAAGCCCCCTCCTTTGACAAACGCAGTCTATGTAGAACGAGCCATTTTAGGGGGGCGTGGCAGAGTCTTAACTTTGATAAAGAATATCTCTTTGGTTTTGAGACTTTAGTCTTTGCAACTTCAGGGATCTTATCTATTCACGAACAGCTTGTAACACTCCAAAGAGAAAGGAAAACTTGAAATCGCATCATATGACCCCTTTAACCATTATCGTGTTAAGACCTTATTTCAGCAATTTAACTAAAAACAATTCAGAAAGCCCACTGACCTCAGGATTATGCAAAATGCTAACTCATTTCCACGTTAGCATAATGGCGAAATACATTGAATTGAGGTGATGAAACTCCAACTTTAACTTTATTCAGCCACTGTTCCAGTGTAAATTGTTCTTAAGCTTGGTCTTCAAGTCTTTTTAGGGAAAGAGGAGAATAAGTTCAATCATCAAGAAAACATTGTAAACATCAATGTTTTATCAGCAAAGAAATTGAAGTCTTTGGCTGAGTAACTACTTCCAGACCACACGTGTAGTTTAGACAGAAATTCTGTTTGAAGTCTTGGTCGGTAGATTAGATGTTGTCTGTTTTCTTTGCTTTGGCAAAATTGTCTATAATCGAAATGGCTTGGATATAGTTCAGACGGTGGTGTGTCTGAGCAGGGTTTGCGATTATTGTTTTTTTATCATACTCTGCAGTGGTTGTCAGAGCAAATGGCTGGGTGTAATTTGGCCTAGTTGTTTTTTCTTTCTTGTAAAGGGAGTCTCCTTTAATTCAGCATCCTTACCTTATTTACTCAGTCACCACTTTGTTATAAGTGGCCCCTTTTCTAACGTACTGCCCCTTTTTTATCATTTCCTGCCAGTTGGTGCTCTGTAATGTCTTCCTGTAAAGACATTAATGTCAGTTAAGCTTCATGTAATGTAAATGTCGTGGCAAGATACACCAGGGTCATAGGAGGCTATCATTTCAATCTGTGTTCATTTTAATGAGTCCGCAGCCGGTTGCCATGGCAACGCTTATGTACTCTGCAAGAGGCCCTCAAATTCCTCATGTCCTTCACACTGCTGTGGGCCAAAAGATTTCCTTGTGTGAGCCAAGTTACTGAATATCCTGAGGTATTGTTCTATATATATATTAGGTATAATGTGCTTATTGTGTTCATGTTGTATTGAAAAATACTTGCTGCTTTTGAGGTGGGAAATGTGTAAGGGTAGGTATATTGTATCAAATTATTATTTTAAATCTTAGTAAAAAATTGTTAAAAAAACTTAATATAAAGAGGGTCCTAATTTTTTGTAATGAATAACAAAATTTAAAATGATATGTTCTTTCAGTTTTAACTATTTTGTTGTTTCAGTGTTTTGTTATTTACTATATATCGGCTGTGTTGCATTCAAAATTATACAAAATAAAAAAAAAACAATAATAATAAATGAATAAATAAAAAATAAGAATAAGATAGGAAATGAAAGAAACATTTCCTTAAAATGTCTCTCCAAACCTGTATGATGTTTTGCTGTGGGATGAGAGGATGGTGACTGAAAACACATAGAAGTTGCTGCTTTGAAACAATCTGTATTATATTAAGCAATACATAAATAAAGGTGACTTGACTTGACTTGATAAAGGTACTATAAAAGTAGCCCATGTGTTATTGATTTGTGTGCATTATTCCAAGTCTTCTTAAGTCAATTAATTACTTTGTTGAAAACAGACTGAAATGTAATTTTGTCATTCACTAAAAAACTGAATTGTGCATTCAACACCAAATAAGGAGTAGAAGGCAGAGCAGAAGACACTGCACTCAAACCTTATTGGTTCTCGCATATATCATTAACACAGATTTAAGTGTGTGAAATTGAATGAAATTTGGAAACTAGGAGTCTCTCATGCTCCCTTACGATACCTCCGCCCTTCATTTTGAGAACCACAGCTGTTTGGGAAGATTATGCAATGCTTTCTCATATCGTTGCTGCATTTTTTATGTTGCAAATCACTTGTTGTAAAATGTTTGGCTGTAGACCCATAAATGGGGAGGTAAATGTGTAAGAAATCCAATGTCAGTAAAAAACCTTCATGTTTTTAGGCTGTTGGCTTTCAACCATATTAAATAGTAGGAAAAGGTTTTTGTGTAGTGGTTGACTAAGATCTAGAGATATATATATACAGTATATATATATATATATATATATTTCAATCTGTGTTCATTTTAATGAGTCCGCAGCCGGTTGCCATGGCAACGCTTATGTACTCTGCAAGAGGCCCTCAAATTCCTCATGTCCTTCACACTGCTGTGGGCCAAAAGATTTCCTTGTGTGAGCCAAGTTACTGAATATCCTGAGGTATTGTTCCAGGAAAGTGTAATGGAGAGCATGTTAGCTCAGAATAAGGCTACCTGTATGGTGGTGTTTCTCAATTTTTTGTTGATGCCTCCCTTTTAAAGTAGTAAAACTGTTACACACCTCCTATTACCCACAATATTAGCTACATTTTTATTGAATACCTGCTGTGTGAAAAACATTTTCTTTCTACTTTATATTTGTATACATAGCTGACTTTAACTACATTGCATTTACATCAAAAAAAGAAATGTATATGCTGCATTTTTTATGTTGCAAATCACTTGTTGTAAAATGTTTGGCTGTAGACCCATAAATGGGGAGGTAAATGTGTAAGAAATCCAATGTCAGTAAAAAACCTTCATGTTTTTAGGCTGTTGGCTTTCAACCATATTAAATAGTAGGAAAAGGTTTTTGTGTAGTGGTTGACTAAGATCTAGAGATATATATATACAGTATATATATATATATATATATGACAGCAAATAAGATGTGTGCATAATTTCTGGCCTTTGTTTCACTGTGTTTTTCTAGATATTTTTTTGTCTGATGGTGTTTTTAAATATTCTTTCCCATCACAGTAAGAGCCAACTTAATCCCAAGTCCCCCAACATACAATTCCAAATATGACTACTTGAACTGGGAAGCATATTCCAACATCACCTACTACACAAGAATTCTTCCACCAGTCCCTCGGGACTGCCCCAAGCCATTGGGAGCCAAAGGTAAGAGACTATAATCAAAGTTTACTCCAAATCAGTGGTGCCTCTTCCTTCTGAAGGACACATGATCTGAAAATGTATTTTTCCTCATAAGATATTAAAATACTCCAAGTATATCAGAATACTAAAGTCACCGGAAATACCTTGTCTTCTGAGGCTGTGGTAAAATCATTCCATGTGTCTCTCAGGAAAAATGAAGCTTCCAGACCCCAAGCTTCTGGTAGAGAAGTTCATGTTAAGGCGGAATTTCAGACCGGACCCTCAGGGAACAAATTTGATGTTCGCCTTTTTCGCTCAGCACTTCACGCATCAGTTTTTCAAGACTCACAACCGTGTTGGACTTGGGTTCACAAAAGGTCTGGCTCATGGGGTGAGTAACAGTTTTTACAATTTAACATTTGATCTCTTAATAAACAAATCAAATCAAGTGTTTGATGGCTCTACCTGCAGGAAAGGGCTTTTAAAAAATCTGTGCATGTGGTTTTTGAGAGAACGAGAGAGACGATAAAATGTTTCTCTTGGACACTGAATCCATGTTCATTAAAGACCTTCTTGGGCAGAGATATAACTTAATGCTGTTTTTTCACAGTGGGACATCAACACATCAACACTCATGTTAGTGTTGGAAGGAATTGGGGAAGGGACAAAAAATCTTTTATCTCATTGTCAGCACACAAGCATAATATTATATACTATTTTAAAGGAAGGTGGAAATTAATTTATAATTGATTGTTGAAAATGAGTGTTGTACAGTACACTCTCAGAATTAATTAATGCGGTATTAATATATATTATACCCTATATTATATAATATAATGTATATTAATACCCTGAACGTACATATCAGGAGTTTAAAAGAACATATTAATACTTTAAAAGTATACATAGTATCTTTTGAAATGGTATCACACCAGTGACGGTTTTGTAACTTTTTTTCTGAAAGTGTATGTAATGAAAACTAAAAATGTTTGAATAATGCAGTTACAGTATCAGCTTATTAGGATGTCTGTATTTGATTGCATATTGAAAACTAGGTGGATGCTGGGCATATTTATGGAGATTCTCTTGATCGCCAGCTAGACCTCAGACTGCATAAAGACGGGAAGTTGAAGCACCAGGTACCGTTCACCAGTTAAATGTCAGGCATGCTGTGGAGTCATCAGTCGTGCTAGGCTGAGCATGTCTCCAAGTACATGAGATATGTCATTCTGATTATTTGTATATATCATAGGTAAAACATGTTAAATATGATATATCATTCTGTTCTTTTCCATTACAGAGGGTCACTCAGATTAAAACTGCTTACTGCCTCACTTTTACTGTTCTTATACTAAAAAATAGCAGTTTATACTAAATCATATTTACCTGTTTTACAAATGATATACAGATTCTTTCTGCTCGTGTTTCATAATTGTGGCCCTGTACATTTTCAGTTGCTTTATTTCACTTCATGTGTGCAAGCATTTCCTTCTGAATGCCTGTGCGGATAACCTCATAGAATTGTGGGCGTGAACATGTGGTTTTTGTTAAGCCTCAGTGATGTAATTTAAGATATTGCACACTGTTTAGTCTTGTAACAGTGAGTATAGTGTGATTAGTAAGTTAGAGTGGCCATATAGTTATATACTAATCGAAACCTGTTAAAGAGATTTCAGGACAGTTTTTGTGAATTCACCCTATATAAACTACCGTTCAAAAAGTCTGGGCTTGATATTTTTTCATATTTTTGAAAAAAGTCTCTACTGCTCACAAAGGCTGCTTTAAAAAAAATAATAAAAAAAATAGCAATATTGTAAAATATTATTATACAATTTAAAAGAACTCTTCTCTGTTTTAATATATTTTAAATGTAATTTATTCCTGCGATGGCAAAACACATTTTCAGCAGCCATTACTCAAGTCTTCATGTAGTGTCACATGATCCTTCAGAAATCATGCTAATATGCTGCTCAAGAAACATTTCTTACTATTATCAATATTGAAAAGAGTTGTGCTGCTTAATGTTTTTGTGGAAAGCATGATACATTTTTTCTGGATTCTCTGATGAATAGAAATGTGAAAAGTATGGCATTTATTTGATTATTACTGGTAGAGCAAAGTGATAAGAGAAAACAATTCTGCATTTTATCATGATGTTTCTGTTTGGCACTGATGTAGGTGGTCAATGGTGAGATATACCCCCCCACAGTGCTAGATGCACCGGTCAAAATGAACTACCCACCGTCTGTCCCGCCAGAGCTGCAGCTGGCCATTGGGCAAGAAGTGTTTGGACTGCTGCCGGGTCTCAGTTTGTACGCCACCTTGTGGCTGCGTGAGCACAACCGTGTGTGTGATATCCTGAAACAAGAACATCCAACCTGGGGGGATGAGCAGCTGTTTCAGACCACCAGGCTCATTATTATAGGTAACGATTTCCTCAAATCCTGTGGATTTTCTTTTGCTTGGGAACTTTTATTTTATATAATATTTGACTGTTACAATAATTAATATCGAAATGGGCATATTACAATAACTATGTTGAGAGAATACTTATTTACATTTACATTTTACATTTAGTCATTTAGCAGACGCTTTTATCCAAAGCGACTTACAAATATAATTATATTAATATATTACATTGAAAATTATGCACTTATGTACTTATAATCAGAGATGGGCGTAAATACATGAAAATGTATTTCAAATAAAAATACTGTGTGGAAAAAATATATTTAAATACAAATACAAAATGCTGTGTGGAAAAATGTATTTAAATACAAATACAGTATTTTGTATTTTGAAAATACACAAAATACGTGTGAAATTGGCCATCCAATGTAGGCATCCCTATAGGCTGAAATCTATCTGGACCTATTCTGAATGCAAAAAAACAAACAAACAAACATTTAGATGTGTACGACTGCTTAGAAACTTCAGTTTCCATTTTAAATACATCTTCCCTTGCCTGTAGAAAATACAAAAATAAAAAGAACACTCTTTATATTTATTTCATGTAAAGTTTATTTTGTTGTATATAAAGTTTATTCAAATTAGAATGTCAAATCTAAATTGTACATTTTAAAATTAGAATTCATTTTTTGAGGAACAATAACAATAAACAATAAAACCAAAAGCTGAAGATCTTTTGTATCATTCATCAGTGTTTGTATCAGTATTGTTCAATCAGTATTGTTCAATTTAGTGCTATATGTTATCATATTCATACAGTATGTTTTGTTCTAATGTCACAAGTCATAATCTCAAGTTTACCGGGTTTTACACGATTCTTTGATTCCTTTATGTGGGTTTAAGTAGTGTACTCAAAAATATTTTCACATGTGTCCTTTCACATGTGTCCTCCAAAATGACCCACAACCTTATCAGTTTATATGTGAACAAATCCATTTCTTCATAAACTTCCCACAAAATGATTGTTTGACAAACTACTCTGCAAACTACTTCCTCTCACCGCTGCTTTCTGATGGATTGGAGAACAATTACTCAGAGTTGCCCCCCTGTCATTTCACAGTGTAAAAAGTGTCAAGCCAGTGTCAAAAAAGCCGCGACCGTTTAGGGAGGAGCGCGCGCAGTCAGCAGTTTGGATGTAGATCCAGGCAAAGTATGAAGAATGCTTCAACTGCACAAACCGCTTCCACTACGAGAGAAAGCGGCAGCTGCGCAGTGATTCCACCGCTTGCCGTGTCCCGTGTGAAAGGGCCTTTAGTCAAAAGTCTCTGCGTTCCACTCGGTCTCAGAGCGCGCGCACAAAAAAAAACTGCCTGCCAACGTGTGAGTGTGAACTTGAATTTCCTTTCGCGGCTTACTGCACTTATAATAAGTGCAACTGCACGAAGCACATCACACTCTTTTACTCAAACATCCGTCCTTGTTTCTTTTCCCACTCCAATGTTTTCCCACTAAAAGCTGCATGGATATATTTGCTTACCCCGACAGGCCTTTTTCTATGTAACGTAAACAATGTAGAAAAAGTTCAATCAATTCACACTTGATTAAACTATTCACACTTTACATTATCGCCATGATATGTATTGTCATATCACCCAGCCCTAACATGCAGTAATGCTTTAAACACATTTTGACAAGCTAGTTGATAAAAAAAACAACAACAACCGATTAACTATTAACACATGATTGGCTTACGCTATTTTTCCCTTGTTGGTGCTCTTTTATTCTTTCATGTTAACTGAAGGTAAGTCTGAATGATGCACTAGTTTAACTTTAATCAACAAGTACAATTGACCATGACATCCTCACCTTCTCTTATTCCAGAAAAGTCGCTCACACAACACTGAATGGATCCGTACAGTCATGGCCAAAAGTTTTGGCAGTGACATAAATTGTGTTTTGCAAAGTTTGCTGCTTCAGTATTTGTAGATTATTTTTCCACATGTTTCTATGGTATACTGAAAAACAATGATAAGCATATCAGAAGTTTTAAAGGCTTTTATTGGAAAAATAAATAAATATAAAAAATGAGTCAATATCTACAGTGTTGACCCTTGTTCTTTATAACCGCTGCAATTCGCTCTGGCATGCTGGATATTAGCTTCTGGGCCGAATCCTGACTGATGGCGATCCATTTTTGCCTTATTAGTTCTCGGAGTTAATCACAATTTGTGGGCTTCTGCTTGTCCACTCGCCTTCCGAGGACTGACCACAGGTTCTCTATGGGATTGAGATCCGGGGAGTTGCCTGGCCACGGATCCAAAATTTCAATGTAAATGATCTTCGAGCCACTTCTTTATCACTCTTGCTTTGTGACATGGTGCTCCATCATGCTGGAAAATGCACGGATCATCACCAAATTGCTCATGGATCGTTGGAAGAAGTCACTCTAGCAGGAAGTTTTGATACCATTCTTTATCCATGGCAGTGTCTTTGGGCAGAATTATGAGAGAGCCCAATCCCTTGGTTGAAAAGCAACCCCACACATGGATGGTCTCAGGATGCTTCACTGTTGGCACGACACAGGT